CACCGAGCTACAGGCAGTCAGGCTGGTGGAGCATGTAACCAGAGGGTTCACCCTCAGCATGAGTACTGGCATCTTGCTTTTGGATGTCTCAAAAGCCTTTGACAAGGTGTGGCACGCGGGCCTCCTCTATAAACTAATCCAAAAGGGTTTTCCTTTTTGGCTTCTAAAATTACTGAAATCCTTTCTTGAAGGAAGGAAGTTTCGGATCAAAATTAACAATGTTTTGTCAATAACACGGCCAGTACGGGCCGGTGTTCCTCAGGGTTCGGTCCTAGGACCAATTCTTTATTCGCTTTTCATCCATGATGTCCCTTCCCCCAGCAACTGTGAAGTCTACCTCTATGCTGACGACACTGCACTTGTCGCCCAGTCATGTACTGGTGATCTGGTTCACGATGGGTTGCAGAATGCGGTGGACGAAGTTCTAGAGTAGGCGGAACGGTGGCTGATAAAAATTAATCATTCGAAAACGCAGGCTATTTATTGTACCAAAAAACGTCGCGGCCCCCCAGCAGAGGTTTCTGTAGACGGAAATCGTGTACCATGGACAAATTCTGCCAAGTATCTCGGTGTCACCCTTGATAAAGGCATGACCTAGCAGAAACATACAGCATCCATAAAAACAAAATTCCAAATTGCGTTTCGGCAACTATACGTATATCCTTTGTTATGTAGATCCTCCAAATTGAGTTTGATAAACAAAGTTCGACTATATAAAATGATTATTAGACCAGCCATTACTTATGCATGTGCGGCTTGGTGTTTTCTTGCAAAGACACACATGCAAAGTCTTCAAGTACTGCAAAGCAGAACTTTGCGGACAATTTGCAACGCTCCATGGTATGTCTCAAATGAGACACTACACAGAGACCTTGACATTCCTTATTTGAGGGATTATGTCAAGCTTCAGACGCAGCGACGTTATAGTCAAGCGGAATCGCACAGCAACCCTCTGTTGCGTGACTCAGTGGACCACACAGTGGAGCACGTTCGTAAACATTCAAGGCCGCGGCTCACACTGTAATCAAAAGCGTGAATCTTTAGTAAACTGAAAATTACACTCTAACAAAAGCGAATCAAAAAAATTTGTTTAGTTCACCTCAACATTAATCCGTGTACCAAGTCAAAAAGCCTAGGTGTTTCCTCTTAAACTAAGCATATCTGTTTTTCTTTGCTCTTCTCCTTTTTTCTTCTCTTTCCCTTTCTCTTTTTCCTTGACTTTGCCTGGTTTCTGGGCAACCAGGACTGACAGATTCGACCAACCGACTAATGGGCAAAGGTCCTACGGACCGCCCAGACAAACAAATGACGAATAGTTTACCAAATTTCGTCGTCATCATGACGTGCTTGTGCATTATTTTGGGATACTACTTAATACATTCATTCGTGGGAGCTTTAGGCACTTGCCCCACACTTTCTTCAATCACCCATACTCGCTTTCAGAGGAGCCTTCTAAATTACCCCATTATCGCCTCTCTTCAAATTTTTCAGTTGCCGCTACTCCCTTTTAGAAGTGCTGCTTAAGCATATCAGTTACATGATTAGAGAAAAGCATCCAATCTACTCATCTTTCCTCCCAAAATACTTCTCCCTTTGGACATCCTGTTGACCAGGACCATAGGAATGTAGTGCTTTTAAAAATTGATGCTGCACCCGCTCAAGTAAAAAATAGTCAAGCATCATCCGATCCTTACAAGAGAGATTTTAAAACGCCAAGTTATTCAAGTAGAACATCTTTCCTCATAATCTTGATCGAATGCCTATTTTTTATTTGCTTCAGTTTCGGATAGCATCTTTTAGCCTTTATAGAGTAACTATATGGTAATATTTAGTAATATTACTATATTGTCACGACTGTAACGTGAGGGTCAAGTTTGTTCTGGGTTCGCTGGTGTGGAGGCTCAGATGATAACAAAACAATAAAATATAAAAGTGTATTAACAAAATGCCGCAAAATAAAAGTACAATAAATGAAATAAGTACTTACTTTTTGGTGCAGTCCCACGAAGAGAGATTCGCCCCGAGTGATCCCAGGGCAGGAATAATCCCACGTGTCGACCCATCCAGTTTTTATAAAATGATAGAACCCCCACCGGCGGCGAATAATCCACCTTTGCAGATTATGTATTATTTGTCGACGACGTGCACATTTCTCAACGGATGCAGTTTAGGATATCTATCGTTATATATGGCGCCTATATGGCGCATGTAAGGCGATACAGGGTGATCACCCGTGGCAATATGACTAGTAGAGCATGGAGACGCAAAAACTGTAAATTCTAACTGCATTAAAAGATATCAATCGCAAACAAAAAAGAAAAAACAGTTTTCGTATCACTGAGTAGTTGGTAGGATTCTGCGTTTTTCTACTATTGTGCAAAACTCATTTCTTTTATTAGCTTTGGCCAATTTGGCTTGCTTGACCAACTCATCAGGTTTTCTGCTTCACATTCAGCATTACTCCGGAATTTTAAGTTGCTGTTTAATTTATTGGCCAGATTAATGAAGATCTACGAGAATCTCTTAATATTTATCTACGGTGGGGTTCAAATTTGGCTGACGTCGTAATGTGTACGAGAAAGAAGCGCGAGAAGCGTCTGTGATGTATGTTAGAAAGAGTGCGGCGATAGCAACACGGTAAGTCGCAGCTGCGTCCGTGGCCTCGCCACTCGGGTTGCTAGGCAACGAGGTGCTTCTCTCTCTTTCTGACACACGTATTGCACGCTTCTCTCTCGTACACATTACGACATCAGTGGTATATGGATTTCACTGTATGTATATCGTTGCACGCCTCTGGTTTTTATGACAAAAGGTGTGTCGAGCAGAGCACTCGGGGTACAACTATAAGCGCAGATCGGAGCGTCGACAAATCAGCCACGGCGGCGCGCCTCACTCCGTTCCTCCACTCCATGCCCATACCAGGCGGCGGAATCGATTTATCAAAGAAGAAACGAAACGCAGCTCAGTCGCGCCGCTCCGGGTTAAAGGTGAATGATATCCGGTGTGACTTAACGGCCCATTATCCTCCTCCTCCCACTTCGGCCCGCCCATCGCATCGTGTGTGCCCGCGCGACCCTGTCCTGTTGCTGCAGGAAGATTAGATGCAATAAGATTTTTTGTCAGTCATATTAGCGACAGCAAAAGGATTGAAATTCAGTACAAGTGTTTTTTGCTGGGCTTGTACACGTAATGTAATATCCACGATGAGAACTGATATAACAAGGATAATATCGTAGTATTAGTTCATAGTAACAAAACCATACTACCCAGCATGAAAAAATAAGACAGGGATTTCAGTGAGTATTTTCGGAAAATCGTACACTCCGGACAAAAAAGGCCGATTTGACATATCTATTGAGCTTTTCTGTCTGAGAGAGGTTATAAAAGCTTTTCTCTATCTAACCTTCAATTGAAATGTGCTAACAAATTCCTCCAAGTCTGCACGCGAAATACAGTCAACTCCTTTACTGATAATAATCCATTGATCAGTCATTTGGTACAGTAATCTGTACTGTTGTTCGAAATTTGGCAACAATGTGGATGATTAAGTTGTTGTTTCTCGGACTGCCATTGTCTATAAATTTTTTTGTTTTACGACATTTCGATTGTGTAAGATCTTAGCATGACCCCAAAGTATTCTGCGGTGTTTTGTCCAAGCGTCAACTGATATTTCATATTTATTCGTTTCTCCCCGTTCCGTGTTGCATTTATGCTCTTTTATTCGAACTGAGAGTGGTCTTTTTGTTTCTCCTATGTATATCTCTCCGCATTCACATTGTACCGGATATACACAATCCAAGAAGTCAAGAAAGCATGTTTGCCAGTTCACCTAATGATGATTGGAGATCACATCAATCGAAACGCCGTGAAAAAATAAACTTTATAGACAATGGAACTCCGAGAAACATAATTTCAATAGTAATGTGTATATAGTTTTGTAGTAGTAATATAAACACAGGACAAATTAACCCCTTACGAGAAATACGCACTTTGACAGTAAACGCCCGAAATGCATGCAAATTTTTTTCTACGACCCTGAATAAAGTAAACAAATCGACCGTACTATTGTATCGCTGGTGGTTGAGTCGTTGCCTAGCAGTAAATAAATGAAGTGCGTTCCCGTCGCCATATTTGCTTAACCATTGATTAACGTATTCTATCTGAAGATAGTCAACCTAATACTGTATTCCAGCGTGACCAAAAAATTATCCGAGATGAAATGAGATACTGTGGCGTCACCTATGGGCATTTATCACAGCTGTGTTTCTCGTCGCCTCAATAATAATTAGAAATCTACTTTAAGAACGATGGTTTCTCATAGATGGCGCTGTAGTCAACTATATGCTCATAGGTAGAATACGCTGATCAGTGGCTTAACATAGGTTAAATCACTCATAACAAGCCCTATGGTACAAAGGAGTCTTCCGACTGAAGAATGCTTGAATAATCTATTCAAAAAGTACACGTTTCCGCCTTATGAAAGCTAACAGGATCGTCAGTAACTTTGTCATTTGACTTTTACCCATGAACTGGTATCTTCACAGATTTCGCATCGTAATTCTCCCAGGCTATCTCTTCTCACGGAATTACTTCTCTATTCGCGGTGCTTTCAAGACACTCCACGATTCTAGCTTGATTTCACCATTAAGGGTAACTTCAGACGTGCTTGTCGAAATATCATGTTCATTATCGACATCCCATCGTGCGTGTTTTATTTGATTTTATTGAAACCAGACAAATCAACCAGAATACTTCACCGATAAAATAATTTCCCTCAGCTAGGATGAAAATCATACGCTAACTACTGGATACTAGAGGATCCATTCATATTACTAAACAAAAAACCGGAACAGTGAAAACGTCATAATTATTTTTTTGAATACTTCAACATTTATTTACTTATACGATTTTATGAAAGTGTGAACTTTTGAATAATTTATTGAATGCTTAAGTGATATAGACATTTATGTACCTATTTAACTAACAATGTTTTGTTTCAGGAAAGTGATGGTGATAAAAGTGACCAAGACTTAGTTGTAGATGTTGCAAATGAGGTAAGTTATTGATAATTTTTTAATATTCATCGTAGACTTCTTCGACACAGCGTAATTTTTCCAAGTCCTTATATCATACAGTAATGGCCAAAAGTATATAGACAAATATGAATATTTACCTGAATACCTTTAGAAAACGAATTCATACTTCCTTGCTCCATAAACAAATGCTCTATTAGTAGAAAAACTAAATTCCTTGTTTTTACATTATCTGCAATGAACACAATTCAAGTCTGCATATAAGCACTTTTTTATGACGGACAAAAATATGTAGACAAATTCTTTTCAACATTAGTTTAGTACAGTTTCGAGTCAGAAGAGGATTAGTTTGTGTTCATCAAGTATTGTGGAATAAGTTGAGTGATTTTAAGACCATACCGCGTGGTCCAATTTCTTTCCATGTGAAAACTAAGATCATTGAGTTATACCAAGATGGTCAACGTCAAGTCGACATTGCCAAAAATTTGAAGCTGAAGCGTAAAGCCAAAATCTAGACGAAAGGAATTGTCAGTGTTTCTACGAAAACTATAAGTAGCAGGTTAAATGATTTGAAGTTATTTGCACGTCGCCCGAGTAAGAAGCCGCTAATCTCGAGAAAAAACCGTAAGGACCGATTACAATTTGCACGGTTGCATTTTGATTGGAGCATCTGTGACTGGAAGAGGGTATGTCTCAGTGACGAATCCATGTCAATATGTCAGGATCAGATGGTGTTCATTACGTTAGATGTCCTAGTGGACAAAGATTGAACCCAAAGTACACATTGCCCACTGTCAAACATGGAGGCGGCTCAGTTATGGTTTGGGGGCGCTTTTCGGGATTTGGGATGAGACCTTTACATAGAATAGATGGCACTATGGATAAGTTTGTATACACAGAAGCATGTCATGTTACCCTAAATGGAAGACAATATGCCTTAAGATGAATCTTCCAGCAAGATAATGACGAAGCACATTTCAAATTTCGCAAAGATATTCTTTCTGGATGAAAAAATACCAGTTCTCAAATGGCCTTCACAGTCTCCCGATATAAACCCCATTGAAAATCTATGGAAATACTTTGATAAGCAAATACGAGATAAAAATTATTCAAACAAGGATGAACTTTTTGCCGCTTTATAGCAAAAGTGGAGACAGATTGATGAATCTTATATCAAGAAACTTCTACAATCTATGCCGAGACGATGCCAGGCAGTGATTGATAATAATGTTTATTCTACAAAATATTAACACAAATATGGTTGGTTTTCTATAATTCAATGAACTTTGCTTCTTTTTTCTATAATTGTTTTGCGTTGTCTATATATTTTTGTCTTTCATAGTTCCAGTTTTTTTTTCAATCAATTTTTTATTGAAGGGAGTTTAATGAATTTATTTATGTATGTGTATTATGCTATAACGAATTATGTATACAGGTTGGTGTATTAATAAAACAAGTTAAAAAAGAAATACAGCACAATATTAATTTGTCTATATACTTTTGTCCATTACTGTATATCAAGCAGAATCGCACAGCAAACCTGTGATGTGTCAATCAGTTGATCATACAGTCAAGAAAGTTTGCAAGGACTCAAGCCCGCAGCACACACTGAACAAAATTAATTAAATCTGAATTTTTCCACCTAAAATTCATACTGTTGTCCCCCTTATTATTTTGCCTTCTTAGTTTCTCCCTGGTTTTGTATGGTATCTGGGCAATCAAACCTGTCAGACCTACTGATTTACATGACTCGAAACGGTCGTATTGTCCACTTTAACAGACACTGATGGATATAACAATGTGAGAGTAGATAGTATCATCAAAAATATTTTCGCAATCACTATATCAGTATACTGATGATTCATAAAACCTCCAGTTAACGAGAGAATCTGACATCGCTGACATTAGTTGAAATTTCATTTTCTCATATCATTTCAAGATAAAAAACAATGCTAATAATATGGTATATTCGTGCAATTTCATTGTTCATACGTGACATTAGCAAATTAAAATGTAACAAACAATAAACGCTATTAAATCGATAATTTTTGCAATTTGATCTTTTGGCAAGCTTATACTGTTTTGTTCGACTTTCAGGACGCTTCATCTCCGCATACGAATGGGGGCGAACATGTAATGCTAAGTAATTCGGGTGATATTAGAGAAAACGGCAGCACAAACGGTGACAAGATAAAAGTAGAACGGCCGCCGAGTAGAAGTGGATCTTCTTCTAGCAGGAGTACGCCTTCGTTGAAGAGCAAAGACGTGAGTACAATCATATTTATAGGTCTATATACTTTCCTAAAACGATGCATCAAAGCTACTGAATCGATATGAAATCTCTTTTTAAAATACCGTTTTGTTGGAGTTTCAATGACAATAAATTTTTATTTAAATAATTCTCATTGAAACTAGGTCTCCCGAGTAGCCTGTGTTTTGACTGGTTTTCCAGAATGGGTGGGTGAATATTGGAAAAGCTAGCTGCGTATAAGGTAATGAAGAATTTGGGAGGTCCATGTATTCCATTATAAAGGATGTCCCAGAAGTAGACGTCAATCCGGAAACGGGGGATAGACCAAATCATAATAGTACACAAAAATATAAAAAAAACTAAATCTTGTACTTTTCAAATCATAGGCTTTTAAAAAAAGCGGAAAAATCTACTCCTGGTGATGATCTTTTGATTCCCATTACTAAAAATTTCAAGTTTTTCTGAGATAGAGTTATTCTACGTAGTGACAACAAGACACATAGTAACGCCACTTTAATTAATTCGTGAATGCATTTATTAAATTCACAATAAATGTTCAAATTACCTTCCTGCAGCAGCAATGCAAGCTTGACATATTCTTAAAAATGATCGGGCTATCAGACGGGCGAATCTTACGTTAATGACAAATTCAGCTGCTGCGTTATTCTGTCCCGTAGCTCAGCTAAATTTTCGATTGGCTTTGAGTAAGCTTTTTCTTTCACCGCTCCTCATAAAAAAAACCAGTGAAGGTGAACGCGATGGCCACGAAATTGGCCATGTCTCTGCAAATGCTTAGGGTTACGTCTTCCAATATATTTTGTAATTGTATAAGTCTGAATAAATTTCACCATTGAAGATGCGTGAAATAACAGTAGCTTTCATGTGGCTATCATTTGAAAGTTTGCAGGTCACCTGTCTGTCATATTTTCAAGTTTGTTGATCGCCTAGCTAACATATTTAAAAGTTTGTTGATTAACTGCTGCGAACCGTCAAAGCTCTTCCAAGGCTACTGCGATACAGCATAAAGCCGCTGCAGTGCTGAACCGCAAGTCACCTTAGTTCACTCCTTGAAAGCTGCAACATTCAAATCCGCGCCACACGTATTGATAAAAACTAGTCTTTTCGATAAAAAAGAATTTTGTTAATACTTTAGTATTATAGCACACACCTGCAGACTAAGCAAATGCGTTATGGCGAACCTGCACATGCGCAAATGATCTCAAGTCTAATAACCATCTTGTATAACCGAACTTTGTTGATCAAACTTAATTTTGAGGGACAGCTTACTCGTTTAAAGCTTGAGATTCTACATCCAAGTGCATTTACATACAAAGTGGCCATAAGTGGTAAAATCAGTATCACCTACTATAACGTCTGAAAACTACACGAACACTCCGAAAACTTGACACGCATTTTGATGAAAAATTTTCAAGATTTAAAAATCATTGCACAGGATAACAAATATGATTTGATCTCAGAGATTATTTAGTAGTTATGGTTCTAAATGTAAATAACAACCACCATTTTTCACAGCAGATTTGTGTGGAAATAAAGATTCTACATCAGGTGCATCAGGTCAATTTACAAACTTGACCTCTAAATGACCTTCGAGGTCATTTTTATATCATATTTGCAAATGCAAATGTATGCATGCAGATCGATATAATCAATCCAAGTATGTTTCAAACAACCATATTTATTGTAGCTGTTTGAATAGAGCACCGAACAGCATTTATGTTGTATATTTCTCATTTGGCGTGAGGGTATCATCGTTAATGAGCGGTCGAGCGGCCCTTTATACACTCACGTAACTTGTATGAAGTTAAAGCTCGTTATAGTCAAATTAAATAGGTATACATGCAATATTTGATTTAAACTTGGGATGTACCATTGCCGACCAGAGGCTATTGTTCAAAGGAAGATTCCGTATAATTACACTAACAACCAATTATGTTAGGCCAACAAACATTTTATATCCATTGAACAACGTTAGATCGGCAAATTATGCAATATCAAATATTCCCATTTGTCCGCTTTTGTAAGAGTTCCATTATGGATATTCCTAATAGTGAACATAATAACCGGTATTTTGTGGAAGTATCCGTTTGAAATTTGGAGACATTATAGAAAAAAATAAAAGAAAGAATGAGTCAGTCATATTCACTGCTTTTAAAAAGGATTCTTCCCCACTTATTTTCGGAACGGGTCAAGTTATTGAGCTGGAATTCAGGGTGGCGAAACTGGTGCATGTATACTTTAACGTGAATGTGACAGTTGAAAACTTCAAGATGGTGGCTGGGCGCCAAGTAGGAGAACATTTTTGGAAAACACTGTACTGTATTAGATATCTTGCTGTTAGGATGCGTATAAAAACATTTTCGTAAAACAAAAGTGATAAGTATTTACATACTTAGGCTGCAGTGTCTAAGAGATATAATTATACGATAAAATTTGAGACTGCTCGGCAACTGTGATAGCGCCAACAGGTTACATTTTTATCTAAATTCAGAAAAAGATTCAGTTCAATATTTTAACATATTATACCGGGTATTTCAAATTCGACCCTCACCATTGGGATCTCGGAAACGGTAAAGATTCGTAGATATTTAAAGTAATATTTTCATTCTTAGTAATATTTAAATACACAAAATTCCAATATAACGTCCACATGAAAAAACAAAGTTGATGACGGGAGTCGAAACCTCGAATTGAAAATTTGAACACGCTTTTTTATAGAGAAGAAAAAGCGGCAAAGGCAACATGCATTTTTTTAGATATCGCGTCTCAAATTTTATTGTTTTATTATGGATAAAAAATAAAAATAATTTTGTGATACATCTGGTATACCAAACAAATGAATCTATCTAGAAAATTATTTTTTTTAATAACTAAGGTTTGACAATGTCAATGTATGACATGTTATACATTTTTAAATTTAAAACTCTATGCATCTGTGCAAAAATCCTATATGGCGTGATGTGACTAGTTTGATCATATCATCTTTCTCGGACGTCGAACATTTATTCTGATCACAAATAGTAATCTAAAAAACTCGCAAAATATAGGAGGTTGTGTTGTAGCCTGTTATGATACTATCGGGCAGCCGAATTCGGCAGCTACGATACGTCAGGTCCAGAATCCATTCTGCAGGTGTCCTTTGGCAGAAACAACTCATAATGGTGACGATATGTACAGGGTGACCCACGTTAATTGCGGATTTTTGCAAAATAATGGCGTTTGAATTTTTGAAATTGAAAATACGCCCCCTAGTGAACAGTTTAGGAAGCTGAAAATGATTTCCAGCAATTTCCCTTGGTCACTTTTGTTTGAAATTTTTTAACGGGTGGCTCTAGATTAAGCCGTTGCTGAGATATAGCCGGCGTCGTTTGTTATTGGGCATCCGGTACATGCAGCAGTCAAAAACTATTTTGTCCTTTATTCTGTTTCGTCTCATAACTGACACTAATATCTCGTATGTTCTCAGGAAAAACCACTGACACCTGGCTCGAAGCCCCGTTCGACGACGCCAAACCTAGCGACGGCGGCTGTGGCGGCTGCGGCATCTGCAACTGCCCCCAAAGTGGGCCCCCCGGCTGGCGCTGGCGCGGCAGGAGCACAGTACCCCGCATACCCCCGGGCCCCTGAGCATCTATATAATAACGTGGCCGCCTCAGCGGCTGCGTACGGTCGCCCGCCCCCGCTGATGGCATACGACGGTCATCCGCACGCCCGCCCACCGCCTACGGCTATGGCGGCCAACGGGATGGCGGGCATACCCGGAGGAAAACCGTAGGTGTTTTTATAATAATTGTAATAAAACGACTTGACTTTAGAAATCAATAAAATGTTCTCAAAAAATGAAGGCAAAGTTCAGCTATTGTTACACTTCCAAAAAATTGGAAAATATAATGACCTCTGGATATGACCGTATTAATGATAATGTTTCCGCATAACTTTTTTCTACAATTTTTAATTTAATGTTGGAGACCGCTCAATACATAAGAGTTTTTAATACAGATTGCTATTATTTGCAATTTTGGCAAGTTATTTGAAATTATTCTATATGATTCCGTTGATACAGGGTGTCCAAGATTAGGATCCTATGCATGGAGTCTCAGTACCTGTGGGAGATACAGTTCAGGTTAATATAGAAAAAAGTTGCGTTTTGTTTTTAAGATAAACGTAGTGGAGCAATACGTTTTATGTGTTTTGTATTTTATTGTTTTATTATGGCTTTTAAGTAGAAAGTGTTAAGTTAAATATTCGAAAATGGACGAATTTTGGACAGAAATACCAAAATTGTGATCTTTAAGATTTTTAAAAATAATCAAGTACCTACTCTTACTAACATTTAAAAAAATAATGAAAGTTTAAAATACATATACTAAATGCAACTCGGCGAAGGAGTGCTGTAATGTTTTAGATTGTTTAGATCTACTGATAAATAGAAAGATATTAACATTTTAACTCGAAATTTCGCAAAACAGCTGAGATATCCCAGCTCATTGTTAATAATGTATTGAAGCTCCTCTGTTCGCTGTACATTCGTTAAGTCGTCGCGGCATTGATTGGATTAGGTGATTGATTAGGCGATCTGAATTTGGTTTCGAATTTCTGAATGTTTGTGGAGGGAGCGGCGAATTTTGCAACCTTCTTCCCCTTGTGTCCCATACATGTTCGATGCGGTAAAGGTCTGGAGATCGAGGAGGAAGCAGAAGCAGATTTACTTCGGACGCTTCTAAAAAGTCTAAACTAACACGTGAGACATGAGATCGTGCATTGTCCTGCTGGAAAAGTAGATCTTGCAATGTTTCCAAAAAGAGAAGCAGATGTGGTTGCAAAACTTCGTGGATATATGGGCAGTCATGCTACCTCGAATGACCACTAATGATGACCTGCTGCCGTAAGCAATGGCACCCCATACCATAACACCTATAGTGCGATGAATATTCCGTTCGATGGAATATTGTACGTGCAGTCTGTCACCACGTCTCCTCCTTATTCTTGCACGGCCATCATGTGTGCCCAAACAGAATCTAGACTCATCCCTGATCACGACTGAGTTCCATTGCATATTCCATTTAAGTCTCTCCCTACTACATACTAATGGTTATCGACGATGCTGTGGGGTCAGAGGTAATACATGATGGGGACGGTATGAAAATAGTAGAAAAGACCTTATTTTGCGATAAACTGTCCTCATTGTTATTGGCCTTCCGACAGCATCAAACCACTGGTTCGCAACTGCCCTTGTTGTGGAAAATCGATCTCTAGGTGCTAGTTGCCTCAAATAACGATCCTGTGACTGTGTAGTCTGTCTTTGACGTCCAGTACCTCTAACTCGTCGATTTCGGCCTTCTTGCAACCACGCTCGACATCATCTCATTACAGTAGCTTCGAGTCGATTCACCAGATTAGCGATTGTTCTAAAAGAAAATCCGGCTTCACGTAACCCGATTATCCGACCCCTCTCAAACTCGGAAAGTTGAGTGAAATTATCGCGTCTGCAAACTCTAGACATGATAATGCAATGAAACTACAAAGAAATAAATGGAAACAAGATAGAAAAATCACTGAATATTAAGAACATGTTCATATTGTTCGGATCCTGATATGACAAAAAAAGCCTTTACAAAAAACGGCTCTTAATGCCTTGAACATTTTATCAGCGTATACTTCGATTATAGCAAATATGTTTACAAGTTTTTATCAAAATTCACTACGTATATATTCTAAAACATTTAAATGTAAAAAATTCATAGAAAACAAAAATTTGGAATTTGAGTCAATTTCATCATTTTACTTCCGATAGTCCCGATTTTTTAATCATTCAAGTTTGGTAACAATATCTTGGAAATTATCTACTAGTTATCCGTAAATTCGTTTTTCAAGTTTTGGTTAACAGGCTACAAAAGTGACACTACATAATCGAAAAACTATGTTTTTGTCAAACTGAAGAAAACTGTTTTCTACACTCCAAAAGTTTTTTTACAAATACAGTTATTCGGATAAATAATATAAGTTCTAGAAAGACTTATGCTTCATTATATTTTCCATTCTAGACTGGTATGCTTTAAACAAAAGCTATTTTTGAGTTGTGTCACTTTTTGTGTTTAATTTGAACAAGTCCTAAAACTATTTGCATAAACGACAGTTCCGTTGAGAACCAAAAGGCAACAAAATACTTTCGACAGTTTTGTTATTCAGTCTATTGGTAAACAATTGAAAAGAAGTTTGAGTTGTTACAGTTTTTGCTCTAGAATAACGTTATACTCTAAAAAGATTTTATTTTCTTATACTAAATATTGGTAAGGTAGGAATTTTTTAGTTGCATTACAAAAGAATGGTAATAAATGAGGCTGAGATGCTTGCAGGTATAATAACATAACTTTCAATCTTCATTGGTAACTTGAAAACGTCACGTCTAATTTTAAATAATAATAATAATGTTTATTCTTATTCAGAGTAAAATTACAGTTAACCGGCGATTGAAAAACCGGCCCTGAGTGATCTAGGATACTATTTTCTCAATTTATAACTCATTCAAATCCTGTTTGCAGTGCCTACTCATTCCACATGAACGGAGATGGCCAGCTTCAGCCAGTGCCGTTTCCATCGGACGCGTTGATAGGTCCGGGTATTCCCCGACACGCTCGTCAAATCAACACCTTGAGCCACGGGGAAGTTGTATGTGCTGTGACCATTTCAAATCCCACCAAGTACGTCTATACGGGCGGTAAAGGTTGCGTGAAGGTGTGGGATATCAGTCAGCCTGGCAGTAAGAGTCCTGTTTCACAACTGGATTGTTTGGTTAGTACAATTAGTATTTTCCTTTATCCACAGGAATGAATGATGATGGTTTTTGTCATTCTGAAGATATTTTATCTCATCTTAAGTCTCCAAGTCTTTATGATCCGTGGGACAAATTCGTCATTTTAGAACCTTTTAGAAAGAAAAATTGACTACCGCCTAAAATTATTATATAATAGGAAAGCACAAACAAAATGCGTTAAACAACAACAGTATAGGACCATCGGAATTAGAAGATTTATAGTGAAACTTAAGCCAGATCCTCGGGAAAACGAATAGGAGAAAGGTGTATCATTTAATTATATAATAATGTATTCATATTCAAGACGAAGTGAGAACTTTAAAATCACAAAATTTCATAATTGAGATCAAAATTTTACAGTATGCATCCTCACCTATCAAGCAAACCAAAATACACACCAAATCAATGTTAAAAATGGGAATTCAAAGTAGTGTGAAGCAGCCACCACCTGTCGACACTACCATCTATTTGTATATGTTTTAGTTTTTCCACATTGTGGCTAGTATACCTTATTTTAGGATGTAGTAAAGTTTTTCATAAAAAGCTAATGTTCTGCATACCAGTGAATTTTCAAGTAATTACTGAACTGCTGCTTAGCCTCGTATATTTCATCCTTTTACATGACTGGATAGAAGGTTATAATACGTAATATCTCTTTTTTGTAATCTGAAATGCCATTCGAAAACCAACCAAAAAAATGTAAACATGTACATATCCGATCCATGACTTTTTTCCTTGTAGCAACGAGATAACTATATCAGATCGGTGAAACTCCTTCCTGATGGTAGGACGTTGATAGTGGGTGGTGAGGCTAGCAACTTGTCCATTTGGGACCTAGCGAGTCCAACACCACGTATCAAGGCGGAGTTGACAAGCAGCGCGCCAGCTTGCTACGCCTTAGCCATCAGTCCGGACTCTAAGGTGTGCTTCAGCTGTTGTTCTGATGGAAACATCGCCGTGTGGGATTTGCACAACCAAACATTGGTCAGGTGAGTACTTAATTAGTCGTACGTGACATGATTGACAAAAATTTGTACAAGAACGTATTCGAACGTGTGCGGGAGATTGAAATTCGATCCATATATTGGGATCCCAAGAACTGTTATACACACACAAAATAATACAGTGTTACGTGAATTGAAAATGTGAGATGCACAAGACCTCATACTCCCAAAGCTGTAGGTCCATCATCTAGTTTCTCGCCTGCTCATATGATTAAAACCGGTTAGCCTACATCCCATCACACTTTCTAAACCAATAAACCAATGGCTCAAATGTTAAACTAGTGTTGGCTATCGACATCCTGTCGCAAATAATTTCATTTTCAATTCATTCGTTTTTGTCTTAATTTTGACTGATATTTCAAAAAAATGCTTGCTGAAAATAATATATTGAATGGGATCGTTTTGCAACAGTTACGAAGGTACGCTTGTTGCGCTTAAGTTTCAAGACATCACCCGTAATGCTAACAACAATACACCAACAGATACTTTTTGGTTCAGAATTCGGGCAAAAGTATTGCCGCAAAATTCTTGCCTTGTTGTACGTCTTGGTCTATAATCGAATTTTGTAACCATGAGTAAGTAAGTGTTATGAGATTTAAGCTCAACTGCTTATAACCATTTCAGAAGTCAAGGAGTATGATAGATCCATAAAGCTTTGTCCTGTAACAAGTTTTATTTGAGATGAAAAATGGACAAATGGCAAATTTTCAGACAATTTAACCGGTTTAAAAAATGCCATTCTCGTGTGCCCTTTGACACCCGTTAATTTTCAAAATAATAGGGAAGTGTAAGAAATTTAGAACTTCTACTTGAAAATTATGAGTTTAAATTCGATAGCACTTGTATTTCGATAGAACTTGTATGTTAGATTATGTTTTTGCTTTGCTTTAGTTATTTGCCTAGAGATGGAATCCGTGCTGAAGATTGTTAGTAAGCATGATACAGCGTTGTACATGATTGGCCCTCTATTGGTCATACGGACGAAACCAGTATTATTGGTTTTCAATGGCGAGTAGACCATTATCTACTATATCGGCAGAATTGACAGCATGAAGCAGTCTTAGTGATGACTCGCTTTACGAAATGCTTTGCAGTTCCTATAGACACTTGCTTTCGCAGTGGTCGATTCTGATGATAAATAGAACCTGTTCTCTCGTATTTTGCTGTATCTAGGTGCGAAAATAATCTTTCTAACCTGAAATTACGGAGGCATGCACTCAGAGTTTTTCCACGAGTTGTTTCCGAGTTACAGGACCTCAAAGTTGAGCAATGTGTACAGGATCCCAAAGTTGAGCAATATTTGTCCTCTTCTAGCTTATTGTGGGTTTGGTACATGATGGATGATATTTATTTGATATTTATTTTCATTACCATCATCCATACTAGCCGCGGCTCGCTAATGATATAATTCTGTCACAAGCACAACACAAAAACTATTGCATTTTGACGCTAAACTTACAGTACAACCTTAATTACAAATCCTATAGCTTACCGAGAATAAGTAAATTTATATATATTTGGCAACCCCGTTCTGCTGCATAGGCAAATCCGAAACCACTGCTTCTCTTCGCGAGAAGTTCCGAGATATTCCGAACATTCTCGACCGTCTGCGCGAACGTGTATTGTGTTTACACGCCGCATCTCGTCAATTCTGGTCAGTCTTAGGCTGAGCGCATACAGTCGTTTTCCGTATACAGGTTCCTAATCAGGAATTCCAATTCGGAATTCCGTGAGCCTAGCGCAAACGTTCAATTTTTTGAAGTGAATATTATACTACCAGTACGTTCAGTGGCGGCTCTGTGAATGCTTGGCGATGGAGAACGACGATTTAATTGCGATTTCACTTCTACTATCATTATCAAAAAAGAAGAGAAAGAAACGTCGGTTTGGGTGCATCCGTTAAACAGTCGGAGAATCTACGAGAGTCCATTTTATCTAAAAAGAGCAAAGTTACGAGCACATCCAGATAATTTCTTTGATTCCTACAGGATGTCAATGCAATCTTTCGATGAACTTCATAATGGCATATGTGATAAATTGAGGAAGCCTGGATGAGATTATCTCTGGATACACAACATACATCTACAAACTGAGGCCGAAGCATAAGAGGCGAGTTTGCTCAGTACTTCATGACGCCAGCAGGAGAAATATCATACGTATATAACGGAAGGAGATAAGCTAAATGGTTAGTTTTAGCAATGGTTATGCCACTTTTTAACAGAAATCAACGGATAAAATCTTAAATTCATATTTTGTGACAAAATCTCTTCCCTCAACTTTGGAGGGCGGTAAAAAAAATGAGGTTGTATTTCATTATTCATTTCATTGTAAAAACTATTTCAATCTATGATGAATAAACCCCGAAAATTTCAGCTTGTTACGATAAGTGCCTCACCGTAAAAAATCCATGTTTGACGCAGGTGGATATCTATGCATGTAAACAAGAAATTCTATTTTACGAGCTACAGTCCAAAGGGATTGATGGATTTTGACATGCGAGGTACTGTTAGATTCGTCCTAGCAGTGCGAGTGATACTGTGTGTATTAACATTTCGTAAAATCAAAATGGTGGATTTTTTCACGCAAATAGCCAAATCAGTTTAATCAGCTTAGGCATTGAACTCGGCATTCCAGGTGCGGGAGCGTTCAATTTTCGGTCCGACCGAACTTACTAAGTCAGGCAATGGTCCAGCGTGGAATTTGTATCTAAGGTTTGTCATCTGAGTTGAATCATGTCATATTCTCCGCGAGATTATGCAGAAATTCATTACTATTATGGTGCTGTCTAGGAGTATGTGGTTAGAAGAGGTGGAGCACAACCGGCGGTATATCCCGACTACCGCGTTTTTCTACGCGTCCATAATGCGTATATGGAGGGCCGCACACTAGGCACTCATCGTCAGCTAGGAGCGCCGAGGATACGCCCAGAAAAATAGAAGATATAATAGAAGCAGCCGAAAGACATCCCTCTATAAGCACCAGAGCCATTGCCCGAAGCAGAAACATATTCCATACTTCAGTGCACACAATACTACGCTCGGAGAACATGCATTCTTACCATGTACAAAAAGTACAAGAATTGCGTCCAAGAGACTATGCACGACGGGTTGAATTTTGTGAGAATATGTTGAGAAGGTGCGAAGAGGATGAAACTTTTTTAGACCGCATCATATGGATAGGATAGGAACATGTACAATTTTCATTCATGGAGCGTGGAAAATCGACACGTTCTTCGCCGACACAGCTTTCAACGTCAGCTTGGCGTTAATTTATGGGCTGGAGCACTCAACAAAAAAATTAATTGGACCATATGAATTGCCCCCCAGGTTGAATGGTCAGTCATATCTTGATTTTCTACAAAGCAGTTTGCATGAGCTGCTAGAGGATGTATCTTTGGACGTTCGAAGCCGCATGTATGTTCAATGCGATGGTGCCCCATGCCACTTTGCACGGGATGTACGGCATTACTTAGACAGTGCCTTTCCTGGGCGCTGGATAGGATTGGACACATACGATGGCCTCCAAGGTCACCCGATTTAAATCCTCTAGATTTTTTATAATGGGATAATCTATACATCTGAAATAATGAAATACATCAATTTTTTTACCTCCCTCCAAAGTTAAGCGATGGAAGAAATTTTTCACAAAAAAATGAATTTAAGATTTTTTGCGTTGAATTCTAATAAGCTCTGTAAAAAAGTGTCGTAACCATTGCTAAAAAAACTATTTAGCTCATCTCAAAAAAAAAACAGCCCTAAGCCTAATGGTTAGTTGTACTTGCGGTTGAAAGTTCATTATCCCGTTTTTCTTTCGAAATTCCACAAAATTGCAAACATCTCCTGAACTATGTAATTTCGTATCACACATATAGGGGTTCATTTGGTAGGTTTAGAGGCCCTCTCACCTGACTTCAGTTGATCCACTACTAACTTTACACCCTGTATATATCCCAGTAAATTTAAATGTATACCAAATCCAGTGCACAGGAGAGAGAGGTTCCAAAAATAAAACCAAGAATATATTCTCAAGAATATTTAAATTTTGGGTTTATATATGTACTAAAGTCAATGAAGAATAGAGGCCTCTGTGTATCATTTGCTCAAAAATTTAGCAGCAGATAGCATGAAACCTAATAAACTTAAACACCATTTAGAACCGCTTCATAGTGAGTACGTTAACAAACTCCGAGAATTCTTCAAGTTAAAATTAAAATCATACGAAAAGCAAAAATTATATTTAAAAAAAACTTTGTGAATGAAAAAGCTTTACTTGCCTCTTATAACGTTTCATATGAAATAGCCAGATGTTAGAAGCCTCACACTATTGATGAAGAGCTTATTTTGCCAGCTGCAATTAAAATTGTAGAAACTATGCTTGGAGATAATTTTACCAAAAAATTGGAGTCCATGCCTCTATCAAATGATACGGTTGCCCGTCGAATTGGTGATATAGCTGAAGATGTACAGCATCAGCTACTCGGAAAGTGGCGAGACAAGTTGTCAATTCAGTTTGGTGAGGCAACGGATAGCATCTTATTCGGAATATGCACCAATGGGGCTCGTTCAATGTCCGCAAGATTTGAAAGTATACAAGCACTTGTAAAACAAAAATCTGCACTGTGCATCTGGACACAAAAGCTCTGGCTTCCAAAGAAATGCCTTGTGGCCTGAATATTGTGCTAACTACGGTTGTAACAGTGGTTAATTGCATGAAAATGAGACCTTTGACAACTAGAATCTTTTCTGCACTTTGTAAAGATATGGGTGCAGTACATTCAGAATGACTGTTCCATTACGAGGCAAGATGGTTATCACGTGGGAAATGTTTACTACGTGATTTAGAATATAAGACATGAAATCTAGAAGAAGAAAACCGACCGGAAGCCGAGATGTTTCGAGGTTCTGATGAAATTTTCGAGAAACTAAATATCTTTAACCTTCAGCTGCAAGAAGCAAATACACATATGTTGGATACGAGTAATAAAGTTAACGCCTTTTGTAGAAAGTTTTAATTGTGGAATAGAAATTTAAAGCAAAAAAACCTGGAACTGTGGATGAATGTATTGAAACTTACAAGGTTGAGGAACCACACATGAAAGTTGTTTTCATAACCATTAAAAATCATTTAGCGATGCTGACAAAGAATTTAAAAAAATATTTTCTTGTCGACGACAAATTAATACTTAGTTACAAGTGGGTTAGGAATCCGTTTCAAATAACTCCCGAAGGGCTCTTAACTGCCGAAGAAGAAATCTTCATAGACTTGACGGCAAACGCCGAAATCAAAAGACAGTTTAATAATGAATCCCTCTTTGAATTTTCAGCAGGCGTGAACGATGAGTTTTCGGCACTGAAAACCAGCGTTTCGTATAGTACTACCATTTTCAACATCCTACCTTTGTGAAACAGGATTTTCTGCGGTGGCTGCTTTGATGACCAAATATAGATCGCACCTAAATATAGAAAGAGTCTATTTCCAATATTAAACCTTGTTTCGACAAGCTTTTCTCGGCAAAGCAGGCCCAAGGAAGTCACTAGTAATTATTATTTTTTACAATTAATATTATTGAAATTATTTTTAATTTAGTATTAATAAATTCAGTCCTGTTTATGAGAGTACCTACTATATCAGTGTTAATGTGTATTTTATTTTTGATTTTCAGAATTTTGTTTTTCTTTCCTTTTAAAAAATTATTCAATGTTAGTGTTTTTTTTTCTGATATGCTCACGCCTCCCTTTAACATTGACATGCCCCCCTAGAGGGGCGCGACCCAACGCTGGTCTAATGCCCTGCAAAACAAAGTTGCGATATTGGTAGTTTGATTACATATTTGGATAGATCTATACTTATGAGTTTTGTCGGTTGTTGAGATGTTAATTATGTATTTTATTTAAAGAATTGTTCGAGGCAATTAATAGTACGGAGTTCTTAAGACCACAAAATTAATCATTCCTTAAACCATTCACATAGGCCACCCAGTGTATTTTCATATTTTCAAATCCCACTTTTTTATGTTCATTTAGATACCTAGTCGAGTGTATTTATCTTAGGAAATTATGGGATTCCGTTTAAACATTCAGCTTTTTCTCTCTATCCATTAGAATGATTGAGCTACGGGATGACAAAATATATAATATCTCAGAAACACTTGCCAAAATTTAGTAGCACTTAGGTCTATCCCAATATGCAATAAAAAAATATAAATATCTATGAAAAGCAAAAAAACACAATGTTGATATCCAGCTCAGTAGTGGGACATTATAATCCTAAACATTTATAAAATGTGTTCCAATAGGGGCCATGTAAGATAATTCTGAGCAGTTTTTGGAAAAGTTTGTGTTTATGCATGTGATAGAATTTGAATGAATAGTAGGCATGGTGATAAGAACGTAAACAAATATGAAACTATTACATGTTATGTTCCGAACTCTGAATAAGGACTACCCAAGTTGGAGGTTCCGAATCTTGGAAACTACTCTTGGAAAAATCGCGACTGCGTGGTCTTGAGCCGTCTCAAAAGAAGAGCTTTATTTGAAATTTAAACTTGTCAAATTGTATTTTCGTAAATTGTGTCACAAAATACACATATGTATACTCGATCCTTAATGGCTGTCAGTAATTTTTACAACTTCGCGATATTTTTCGTCTGACTAAAGTGTTCTTATAAATGTAGCGAGAAATAAAGTGATTTTACTTTGTATTCTAGGCAGTTCCAAGGTCACACAGATGGCGCCTCTTGTATAGATATCTCTTCAGATGGCACGAAATTGTGGACTGGCGGTTTGGACAATACTGTTCGTAGTTGGGACCTGCGGGAAGGGAAGCAACTTCAACAACATGACTTCAGTTCACAGATATTCTCATTAGGTTACTGCCCGACAGGAGAATGGCTGGCAGTTGGAATGGAGAACTCGCATGTCGAGGTGAGTATATCTGAAACGTTTAGGTTTTGAACTATGAGCGCATTAAATTCGAAAAGCCTTGATCGTGTATGTTCTCTGAGGTAACTGATTCTTTTTCTACGAACCCTACAACAAATATGATTTAAATCTCGACATGCGCTAGCCTGATAATGACCAATGATATTTAAATATGTAATATTGAATTGAAGTTGATAAAATAATTTGAATTCCCTGCATTGACACACACATTCTGTATTTTGAATTCCTTTTATGTCACTAAACCTGCCGAAGCTATATTTCATCACCAATTTGCAAATGTTTGGTATGACCAAATAGTAGTTATACCAAGAGGAGTTAGATAAGGTGAATAAATTAGAGGGAGATAAGAGATGTATACAAAAACATGACGTCCACAAAACAGCTCATGGCGTCTAAACACGTGCGATTCTTATTGGGTCAGGGATAAATGAGGTGTAGTGAAAGCATTTTGTTCAAATTTACTATTGTTTGGGTATTAATTCATGGTGCTAATATTTATCATCCGTTTCCGTTGATAAATCAAACTTTTCGCGAGTGTTCTCCACATCATTCTCAAAACAGTTATCACAAAGCTATTTAACTTTAAGGGCCCTACGCAGAATACTCGAATACTACTGGATTTAGTTTAGTTACAAACCAAAACAAGAATGCTCATAGATCGCCGTTTTTTTTGTGAACCAGTAACAGTCCAAAGTTTTGGTTACATCACGTACTGAAAACTGGTGAAATCTTGCGTATTTACCGTGTTTGATGCTTAGCATCAAAATACAATGATGTGTATGTATAAAGACATTCCACAAAGTGCATTCCCGTTGTATGACTACTCTCTGGTATGACATGTCTGCTTCCTCACATTGTATTTAAAAAAACGCTTCTACGTTTAAAGTCAAGTAAGCGGTAAACGGGTTTATGGCGTTGCATAATGTTTGTTGACAGGTATTCTTGGTTTTTGTTACTTACAAAGCATACTATAAAAGTTTTGCAATATGACTTAACAAACGGACGCAGGAGGCTCCATGTTACTGCATGTTGAGACATGTCCATGAGTGCATAGTAGCCGCCAGCAGCACGTCTGTCGATTTAATTGTTCATTCGTATCGACAGCGTAAGGTGCGGACTATGGCATCGTGGTCACGTAGTGAGATAAGGGCAGTTTTACGGTATAACTTTACGCGTGGTTTAAGCATAGACCAATGCTTAGAAGAAAGCTCGTTTGAATTAAAGAATGATTGTCCTCATCGTACGACTATATTCAGGTGGTACTGAGAATTCCAAAGGAGTGAGTTCACCCTGGTAGATGCTGAGAGGGAAGGAAGGCCGCTAACGTCAGTAGCAGACGAAAACATTACTGCTGTGAGGAAAATGCTTGATGAAGACCGGAGGATGACAAACCAACAGATAGAGAAGATCTTACACCTTCATGCACCAACAATCATTCAATTCTGCATGACCATTAACACGTAAGAAAACTCTGTACTCTCTGGGTATCGCATAGACTGACGGAAGAGCAGAAGACTCGTCGTATGACTTGGTGCCAAAAAATGCTGAAAAAGGGGCAATCTCGGTATGTGAACAGCATCGTGACAAGTGACTTGGCTCTATTATTTTGATATGCCGAGCAAGGCTCGAAACAAAGTTTGGGTCTTTGATAATGAGGACACACCTATAGCTGTCAGAAAATCCCGATCTGTTAATAAAAATACTGTATTTTTCAAATCGAGCGGGATTATGGAGCGTCTCGTCTTGGACGCACAGAAGACAGTCGGAACAGTGTCTGTCTAAAGTCATAGAGTCTATGAAAAACCTGCGGCCAAAGTCAAGAATGGACACTTGGTACCTCCACCATGACAACGCTCCAGCTCATCGCGCCCAAAGCCTGCACCGAGTATTTACCACTCTGAAACTCATCTTGCTCACAGCTACTTTGCACTGTTTCCGCATGTGAAAATGAAGCTAAAAGGAAAACAGTTTTCTGGCGATGAAGACCTTCTGAGGGCTTGGGACAACGAGTGTGCCGCACACCCGGGTGAAACTTGGCAGAGCTGGTTTAAGGACTGGTTTTGGCAGATAAATAAAGCTGTATTGCAAAACTTTTATAGTACCCTTTTATATTATTTTTAATTTCAATTTGTGAACCCAATATGTTACTTATTCTTTTTTCTATTGGTATTTTTATACGAACGAATTTTGTTGTAGGTTCTACACGCTAACAAGCCAGATAAATACCAATTACATCTCCATGAAAGTTGTGTGTTGAGTTTGAGATTCGCTGCATGCGGCAAGTGGTTCGTTTCTACGGGGAAAGATAATCTATTGAATGCATGGAGGACGCCATATGGAGCCAGTATATTCCAGGTAATTCAAAATAACTATTACTCTGCTGGGATATTACTGAGAATAAACATTTTACCGCCACTTGAAGATACGATTATAGAGAATTCCTTATTTCAATTTAAACGATGCTATTATTGAAACATTGAGAGGAGGGTCGTTTCCACCATTCAAGGTTTTTTTTGTGACAGGAAAAAGCTTTTATAGTCACTTGCATACGGAAAAGCTCGGCAGTATTTGCCCTGTCGGCCTCTCCTGCCCGAAATGTGAGAAATGATAGATAATTATTTGTCCATAGATCATATTCTTAAATGAGACAAAAGTCAATTATACAAATACAATATAATTAATCGGTACTTAACAATTGCTGCGGTATTACTACTAATATTTAGCAATTTAGAAATAAGATGATAGATGTAGATATAACACGTATAAAATCGTTTAAATTCCATAAAATAGCACAGGGACTAATTAATGTATGATAAAACATACAAAATATATAAAAATTTGTATATGTATACGAGTGTCATATTTATAAAGATTTTTTTGTTAGAAAGATTTTTCTTTGCTAGTGTTTCTCGCCACATTAATCGGTGACTGAAAATTTGCTCGGCTGCATCACTGCTCCAAAGAGCTAATGCTTTTTAATAACTGAAGAGCAGAGGGTGGCGTTGGCTAGTCGGTCTCGATCCGCTCATTGGAGGGGAAGTCATTGAGATTCATAGTGGAATACATTAAAAATACTAACCATTCAAATTCATATTCATTTTTGTGCGCTTTTTGGTTTTCTTTTTTTTTTTCATTCATACGGCTATTTAGGCTTCTGATATACCAGCAGACAGATTTTAAACTCAATGAAAGTTCATGTAAACCTCGTTATTGAACCTATTCAGCTTCAATGGTGTCCGAATTATAAGCTTGAAATAATTCTACTAATCCCACCGTATTAATATTTTTTATGAACTCCCGATAGTGAAAAAGTACATTGTATGAAGCTTAAACAGTTCCATAAGGATACAACTACCAGGAATCATATAAACAAGAGTTCAACAAAAATAAGTATTTGCAAATCCATTTAAAAATATAACGAACAATAAATAGTGATACGTGTATACTGATATGCGTTTTTGTTTCAGTCCAAAGAATCGTCAAGTGTTCTGAGCTGCGATATTTCGGCGGACGACAAGTACATAGTGACAGGTTCGGGTGACAAAAAAGCGACAGTGTACGAAGTTATTTACTAGACTAGTGCGTGCTTGTTACGCGGCTGGGACCAGAAAAGTGAAAACTTGTATATATGACAAACATTTTGGGCGCGATGTTTTATTGAAAAACATCAATTGTTTCAATGTTTTTTATTAAATCAACCAGGCAACAGACATGCATTCCATAATTTTGAGGCTAGATATTTATTTTAGCCATCCTGAAATTGGAAGATAGTAATAACAGTATTCTTGGTAGACTGTACGAGCTTGCATATTTGGAATTAAAAATACTTTTGATTTTTTTACAATAAATTATAACATATTATTTCACGTAACTCCTGAAACTCATCTCGTGGTTTTCATGTTTATAGGAGTCCATTGTATGGCTAAATCAAAAGCACATATATGTTTAGATGTATGTTTATTGTACGACGTTTCGACCACCACAGTGGTTTTTTCAGCTACAACTGAAAGATCTGTGACATTTCGTTATTTTTTTTCTTTTTTCACATCCCTATACAGTGTGTCACTATAATAATCTGAACGGTCCTGTAACATGCAATTCTCGGCCATCCTTCTTTGTAATCTCCCACGGATTTTTTCCTGGGAAATTTGCTTTACTGGGATATCGGTTCTGATACTCTTCACCAGAAAATCGAGCATTTTCATTGCACAATCCACAAATAAAGAGAATTTTTGCGTATTATCAAACAAGAACAAATCTGGAATAAGTATGGCATTGTCTCTGCATCCCTTTTATATTACGGACGCATCCTATCCTATCCTATCCTATACATGCTTTATTATCCGATTTGTATTACAAGAGGCCGTAATCGGATAAGGTAATAATTTTCGTAACACTATATCCCCAAAAATAATTTCATTGATTAGATCTGGCTAGAAGATGGACAATGGCAATTATAGGATAAATTTATAAAACGGGTATTTTTAAGATTAAGGGTACCCGCAGCATTTTATTTATCTTGCGCAGAAACTACTTAGGATATTTGGTTAGTTAAAAGGAGTCCATAATATCGGAAATCTCTTCCTATGTACAGTTTGAATGCCGACTAATTGTTTCTACTAGTCTACTTGAATATGTTGTAACATTGTTGACAATAGATGAAATTATGTGTTGAGACCATTGCTATTTCCTATAACCTATTTCAGTTTGACTAAAACTTTTAAACCAATCATGGCACATCAGCTTACTATCTCAAACTATTTCGCACGAATGAATATGTCTATTACCTGGTCTGAGTTACATCCCCTTTTGTATTTTGTAAATAAAATTGTAGAAAAATCAGTGTATGATGCAAGTTGGAGTAGCACCTAAGCGTTTTTGCAAAAAATGTAGATATTTAAAGTAGCTTCAACTCGCCCCATCCACCGTAGAGAAAGAAATTGGGATGTTATTTATGTTTCCTTCCTGTCTAGCGATTGCAATGAACCTATTTGTTATTGTTTACGAACAGAAATATTGTTAAAAATGTGTGTGAAATCTAGATGTCTCAGTTGGCACAAGTGATTCAAATTTAAAATACCGAATAACATTTAGAGTTTTCATTACTTTCTCGATGTTACAACAAAAGATTATGTAGCATATTTTTCGTAATTAAATAAATATTACAAACATTATATTACAATTTATTTATAAATAACGTGGCACCGCGGCTGCTATGAGGATCCCAAAGAAATTTTGTTAATCCGATTTTTGAACTGCCTAAGGGAAAGTTTCCTCTTGTAGATTATTCCACAGGGTCTGTCTGGCAGGCATATCGCGCGGCGGCATCATGGAAGAGAGTTCTGAGGAGCAAAGCCCGTTGGTGTAATGGTAGAAGAGAGCTAGATCGCCGATGGCCCGCCGATGCGAAACGGTCCCGAGACTGTCAGGGAAGACCCATCGATCATTAGGATAGCCCTCCTCTGGACAGCATCGAGCATGGGTAATGTAGTCGGGGTGATAGCTCCCCAAACGTGTGAGCAATACTCGAGGCTAGGCCTTATCTGGGCCTTGTATAGAGTAAGGTCATGCGGAGAAAAGTACTTCCCTAGCCCTAAACAAATAACCTTGCTTTTTTCATCATCAAGTCCTCGGTGATCTGGACTCCGACCAGCCGAAATGAACGTCTCTTTGACAGAACTCGGCCATCCATCGAAACCGGATGAGCGCTAGGACACTTTTTGTTCGTCAATGTATAGTACTGTGTTTTGGAAGCATTAAACTGTCTCAGTTGGCACAAGTGATTCAAATTTAAAATACCGAATAACACTTAGAGTTTTCATTACTTTCTCGATGTTACAACAAAAGATTATGTAGCATATTTTTCGTAATTAAATAAATATTACAAACATTATATTACAATTTATTTATAAATAACGTGGCACCGCGGCTGCTATGAGGATCCCAAAGAAATTTTGTTAATCCGATTTTTGAACTGCCTAAGGGAAAGTTTCCTCTTGTAGATTATTCCACAGGGTCTGTCTGGCAGGCATATCGCGCGGCGGCATCATGGAAGAGAGCTGTGAGGAGCAAAGCCCGTTGGTGTAATGGTAGAAGAGAGCTAGATCGCCGATGGCTCGCCGATGCGAAACGGTCCCGAGACTGTCAGGGAAGACCCATCGATCATTAGGATAGCCCTCCTCTGGTCAGCATCGAGCATGGGTAATGTAGTCAGGGTGATAGCTCCCCAAACGTGTGAGCAATACCCGAGGCTAGGCCTTATCTGGGCCTTGTATAGAGTAAGGTCATGCGGAGAAAAGTACTTCCCTAGCCCTAAACAAATAACCTTGCTTTTTTCATCATCAAGTCCTCGGTGATCTGGACTCCGACCAGCCGAAATGAACGGCTCTTTGACAGTACTCGGCCATCCATCGAATCAGGATGAGCGCTAGAACACTTTTTGTTCGTCAATGTATAGTACTGTGTTTTGGAAGCATTAAACTGTACAAAATAGTTGTGTCCCGAAGCAGTGATAACCTCCAGGTCTCTCGTCAGAGAGGAAATTGTCGCTAGTCTTCTTTTTTCCTGCTCAGTGACAGAGATCGGCTTGTCACTTTGAATTCCTGCATGATCGTACAGGAAAGGAGGTCTTTGATATGTAAGAGGAACAGTGTCGGATCATATTAGACTAAAATACCCCTGGTATGCGAAATAATTGTAAAGTTTGTTTTTATTGATGCAAGTTGTTCAAGAGGGTATTAAGCATGGACGCATAAAATGGGTACACCAATTTTTGTGGGAATACTTCTTATTCGATAACGAAGAATGAGAACGTTTTTTTGGGATTCAGTCGAAAGTGTTGTCAGGAACGAAAAATAAGATTTTTAGGTATTTACAAGACCTACAAAATGAGACCACATGTAAAAAGATCCCACTAATAGCAAAAAAGCTATGGCCGAAAATCGAGGCAAAATGCAGGTATTGGCTCTTGTTGGTAACACGACGATCATTTCAGGCAGATACCTGAAATTCTTCAAATCCGTAGGCTTCTAAATAAACACAACAAAATTGAAGTAGATTGCTCGAGGAAATTTTGAGAATTTCTAATTGTTTATCCTAAAACACCTGTTTTCCGGCCATCACTACTAGTTTATTGAGCAATATACATGGTTCGTTCAAAGAGCATTTCATAGCGAGTTTATCTTACTGATATGAATCACAAACCATCCTGAAAGATAAATGTTATATTTATGCGAAAAACAAAAGATTACGTTTTTTCTTCTAGACAAATTCAAACATTTCGTATTTGTGAGTAATTTCTCCTTTTTGCTGCTGATTTTTTTTGGCAGATTTTTGCATACATATTCACAACTGAAATTTTTACACGGTCAGCCCTAAAGTTCAAAAAACATATTGCATAATGAAATGCGCTGAACTTTTTATAAAGTTAGCACGCAAACTAAAGACACAATTATGTTTCAAACCGTCTTAGCCTAGTTAGTTGTAGCATGTCCTAAATGGCTACATTGTTGATGACTGCATGACTTTGTCAAATAAGTAGGTCACATAATCCAGTTTCTTTACGAATAAATATAATTCCCTTGACCTTTTTTTCTAAAAGTATTAATATAGTTTACGTTTGTTTTCTAAATCTCGCACTATTAAAATAACTGCTCGTTCAAAACGTTGGAAAAAAAATAGGCAAAATACTCGGAATTAGTCCCTAATACATTTTTAATGTTTCAGCATTGTATTTTGTATAGTATTTTGGATTATTCTAATTCTTTGTAACAGATTTGATGTGCAACCAACATTCGCTTGACATTTGTCAGTGTCACGTATAGTGGTATAACGATCCAGTACACGAAGAGGCGTCGTAGGATAGTGGGAAAGAGTAACGACTTCTGATCCGCAGGACGGAGGCTCGAATTCACGGAGCTCCTTTTTTTTCTATTAATTTAATTTTGGTGAAATACATGCTTTTCCACATTATGTGTACTTTTATTGTGATTAAACAGCTGAACAATGTAAGCTTAAAATCAGGAAACCAGTGGTTTACGTATGTTTCTTTATAATCTTTATATTGCTTTGATACAATTTCAGAAACACTATGTCGGATCATAGCAGAAAACATATATCTCAGATGTGTAAATTATTAACCAACAATAATGAAATTTTGACTGTGATAATACGCTCAAGTTTTCGATACGCGGACAAATTAGATACTTCTTGGAGCCGCAGATTATGCTTAAAAAATTAAATGAGCTAACCGATAGTTTTTATATTTATTAAGTTACTGTTCAGCGTTGATGCTCATTTCATCAACAGTGTAGACATTTTTTTGCATAGTACATAGTATTTTTGTATTAAGCACAAATTAAAGGTAATCTCAAGCAACGCCATTTCAGGAAGAACGTTTGGGAAATTTTATTTGCCCACGCCTTACGTGGCCGCTAAACGATTGTTCCAGTCATACGTATTGAACAGACGACATAATTACCGACATTCAAGCTGAGTACCTAATATTAGAAGCTCAAAATCAATATGATAATACAAGAAATGCGAAACAAAGGATATGATCCACATGCGAGCCATCCTCTAAAGTGGAACCAAATCGTTAAGCTCATGTATTCATCATAATATGTGGTTCCATTCAGTGGCGACTTTAATGCAACATCTAAAACTTATCCTGTGGTTTTCTTGTCGATAACCCCCTTGGTTTATCTGGCCAATGAATTCGCATATATTTAAAATTCGTCTTCAATGTATACGAGCACGTGGGTAACGTATTTGGTACTTTGAGGCCCGATTTTACTAAGCTGGGTCTCAAATTCAACAAATGGAAGGGAGTCTTTGAAGTAATGGATTTAATGAATGGTTGACTTCTAGTAAAATGTCTGTGAAACAAGCATATACGATTTGTGTAAGATAGGCCCCTAGTTCCCATATGAAATTAAGAAATACGTCATAAATCGCTTGGTTTTGCTACAAAAACTTATTTTAATACTCGAAGCATGGACACAAATCTGATACAATATCTAGATTGATATGACAGGAATTAAATTGCATTTTATTGAAAGTTGCTATTGCTGTACAAAATTCTGGTTATTAAACTCTTTGAAGACATGCGTAAAATTACAGAATGCTTATTCCTTGGGTTTGCAAGCTTACATTGTCTATGGCGTGCGAAAAGCTGTTTGATAAGTACACATAATGTGAAAAAGCATGTATTTTACCAAATTTGAATTAAATTGATAGACAAAAAAAATGGAGCTTCGTTGATTCAAACCTCTGTCCTGCGGATCTGAAGTCCTTACTCTTTCCCACTACACAACGATGGTGACGCCTCTTGGTTTACTGGATATTGATACCACTATACTTGACAGTGACAAATGTCAAGCGAGCGTTGGCTGCACATCAAATTTATTATAATCAAATAGAGTAATCTCAGAAACTACACAAGATGCAATCCTGAAACTTGCTCCTAAAGTATCTCTTAACAATGTCCAGCAGTAATCAGCAAGCAAATTGACACTCAATTTGCCTTGATACCGTTTTTCCATAGCAGAAATGTCTTGGTGGAACCGTTCACCATGTTCATCACTTACTGCACCTAAATTTTCCGGAAAAAAATCGAGATGAGAATCCAAAAAGTGATTTTTAGAGGCATGTTACATCCCATTCCTTTATAAGCATCAATTAGTTCATTCACAATATCTTTATAATTGCCTTCACATTGCCTGAAAAATTTGCAGTAACCGATTTAAAAGCATTCTAAGCTCGTAATTCAGTTTCATTTAGAGCACTGTCAAATACATCATCCTTCATGATTTTCCGTATTTGTGAACCCACAAATATGCCCTCTTTAATTTTCGCCTCACTGTCTCGGAAATGTTTGTTTTAAATGCAGAAACCCTCTTCCATTTCGATCCATAACTTTCACAAAATTTTTTATCAGTCCCAACTTAATATGCAAAGGTGTAAGCAACACGTTTTGGGGATCAACTAGTGGTTCATGAGCAATGTTTTTGAGGCTCGGAGTTAATACCTGACGTAGTGGCCACTTCTTCTCTTCTCGCGCACGACTGTCCCATTCACAAAGGAAACAACGATATTTGATATATGCCAGTTGCATTCCAAGAAGAAGGGCTAGATTACCATTAAATCTGCACATATGGCCCATCCATATTCATTA